AGCAAAGTTATCAGCAGTAAATGCCTTTCTAAATCAGTTCTAGGATGAGCCAAATGCAATTACAAATATGCTAGGGTGGGTTTTTTCCTCCTCTATATTGAAGGATTTGTCCCTCAATTGAAAATATTTCCCTTTTCTGAGCATAGTTTCCCAAAGTATAAATACAGTGAATGCAACATGATATTCCCATTTATCCTGCAGTTTAAAACTCACAAAACACTGCAGGGACGCTACTTCCTAATCACCACCTCCTCCATTTCACAGATGACAAAACAGAGACACAAGGAAGGCTTTTCAGGTGGCCCAGAGTCCTGTTTCCTTGGTGGGAGTGCCTGGACAGACAGCTGGGTCTCCTGTCTGCTAGGCTGGTGGTGTTTAGTCTATCTAGCTGAGGATTTTAAAACATTTACTTCAGCTTAATTCACATTGCCCCCTCTTATGGGCCATTTGTGTGTGTCAGTCTTTATCTGTGGGCCTGACCTCCTCCTGTGCCAGAAGAAAAAAAAGTAAAAATCAAAGCCTAAATATGGAACACATGTGCTCCTCATCTGGGCTGTTTAAGGGCATGGGGAAATCAGACTTGTCATTGGCTCTTTGTCCTTACGTTCGGCTTGCCCTTATACCTGGGTTCTATTGGCACCACTTTTGGCCCCAGCCTGAGCCTCCTGCACTGAAAAGCAATCTTCTATCATGTGCCTTTATGCCAACTTTCATCATTCTGGCTTCTCTGCGTTTGAGAGATTTGCTTTACCGGTCCATAAATAAATCTACTTTTGTCTATATTAAGGGCAGGTTTGGCGGTGTGCAGTGAGAGGGTAGCAGACATGTTTCGCGTAAAGACCTAGAATCTTCCGCCACCTCTCTGACTGGACTGCAGTGGGAGCCATGACTCATGGTGAGGTCATGCATTCCCAGGCAAAGTTTACAGTTACCAGGAGACTGAGCTATTTGCAGGTGCCCCATGTACTGGGCATTCTCTTTCGAACTCACCTCCATGTTGCACTAGCACCTTTTGAAGTAGAAGCTCATGAGGTGAACAGGAAGACTACATTTTTATTATAGTTGGCTACCTTTGCTGAATTAGCATTTATATTTTCCCAGTAGAAATCCCCAAATTGAAAATACCGAGGTGTCAGCTAGCACCACTTTAGTTAAGGTTGTGTCAACATTTCCTATAAACCTTGTTTTTCTAGGGTTTATAAGTAGACCATAAAAATTTGCTCAGCTCTGAAACTTGGCATAGAAAGTAAACCCGGGTGTAAATTTTGCAGAATTTGAAGAGGGAAAAATAAATTCAGCTGTTTTTAACATGTGCCTGTTCTACAGTGGAAATGATTGGAAGATGCGTTTTCTTTTTGTGTGACTCACATGCAGCTTCAGTTCTAAAAAAAAACACAAGATTATTTCATTAATATGGCTAATTGCACTTGTGAAGTTTTAGAGAAAATGCCAGTGATTGAGGTATCTAACTCAAACCCACTGGCACTGCGCATCTGCAGGTAACAGTTCACAAAGCCATTAGCTGTGCGTGATTATGAGATCTGGAGAATTGTATGCACACCTTTTAGTGCAGGAACCAGCAATGCTTGGAAGGAAGGAGTCTTTCTGACAAGAGGCTAATGGACCATTTCAAAACACAGACACACTCAGGATACTACGTTTTTATTAATTCGTACTTATCTGTAGTTCACATTTTCTGGATGACCCCAAAAGCATTTCCTATTATGTTTGTATGAGGGAACCAGCCAAGACCTCTGAAAAGCTACCTTTTCCCCAAGGTTAGGGCTAGTGCTCTGCGTCTCGAAGCAGCTCACCATCCCTTCCACTGCACTGGAGAGTATTGGTATGGGTATGCTGGAGGCAAGTGGTCAATGTGTTGCCATCTGCTTGAGATGTCCTGGCCTGCATTTGTCTGTCTGTCTCAGGCCCTGAACTCTGGGAAGACAGTAGCATCCAGTAACAAGAGCATTGTAGGAAACTGGAAGTTCCTAGAGCCAGGAGCCTCCCCTGGCTCTAAGGTGCTTGATGCTGCACAGGCACCGGCTTCCATACCCGCTGGCCAGGAGCCCTGATAGTTGGTGTTACTCTACAAAGAGCTCTGCCCAGTGCTCTGCCGGGAGGCAGAGACAGCCACGGACCTGGAGGCAGACATGATTCCAGCACTCAACCTGCCACCAAGCGAACAAGGCTTCGTATAAACCCTGTTACCCCAGAGTTTGGGGGTTGGTTGTTGTTATTTGTTGTTATTCAGTCTCCCAGAATCCAGAGTGAACTTGCCAGGGAAAATCCCCCCTCAGGCAAGACAAGCATCATGGAAGAAAGGAAGAAAGCACTGGACTCAAAGCCAGCAGAGCTGAGTTCTTGTGCCCTCAGTGGCCTTACCAACTCTGTCAACCTGGGCTGGTCATAACCTGTCGACCTGTCTGAGGATAACAATACTTTGCTGACCTGGTAGCATAGAGAGTCCAGTGAAGTCACTATGTAGATGGAAGCACTTTTTAAACTGGGAAGCGCCATTAAAATGAAGTGATAGGACCTACCTCAGCATCTGGTATTGCTGGATGCCCACCAAGTGTCAGGAATGTAAGGCCGTGCCCCCTTTCAGCCAATTCATTTGGAAAGGCCTTAGGCTTCCAGCATAATGAGCCACAACCCATGACTCAACCTTGGTTTTCTTCCTCCAAATTGGAGTTCTCTTTATTGTCTTCTCTTTGCATAGCTTTTGCTGATCACAGACCGCTTTTCTGGGTGGAGAATGATCCAGAATCTTGCCTGCTCATTTCTCATGGACATCAACCCAGCCTGGCCCCAGACGCCACCTTTGATGTTACCTCATTCTGCTACCTCCTCATCCCACCCCCATCCTTCTGTATGACATCAGGGCCTTTGGACAGTTCCAAGGACACCATTCTTGGTAGCTTTAGGTTTTCTCTGGGACTGTCTCCCATTGCACCCTAGGGCTTCTTTCCTTAGGGAGAAACATGCTACACATCTCAGGCATAGTAGGTGATCTATATTTGTCATGGGGAATTTTGTGGCAGGGAGATCTGTGAGATGCAATTAGTGGTCAGTCCTCAGAAGGACCCTGCACTTGGTTCAGTGACCTGCTGCCACCATCTTGCAATTCTTACACATTTTTAACTGGGAGCCCCATTTTTTTCATTTTGGACTGATCCTTCCTAATTATGGTAGCATCTCTGGTCCTGATATTTTCCTAGCTAGCTCTGAAAACCTTACCCTGGAGCAATCCTGCTGAGTGCTAGAGCCAATCCCGTTCAGGGCCAGCAAGGTTTGAGGTCACCTAGTGAAGGCAATGGAGGGGTTAGAGTGACTGGCTGCCCCTATCCCACGCTGGAGTTCACCGCCTCTCCTGGAGCCTCCAAGACTTCCTGCTCAGCATTTCAAGCCCCTCTTCCAGAACCCTGGATGCTGATGTGGGCACTTACAGCTTCCAGAGGGTCCTGTCTCACACAAAAGGGACACAGGACACCAGGGAGCAGCCCCAGTCTGTAACTGAGGACCATCACTTCTGCACCCAGCCCCCTGGATGTTTTTGTTTACCCAGCGAATGCTAACTGAACCCTAATCAGGCCCCAGGCACTATGTGGCCACTGGAGACATGTCAATGAGTGAGATAGACACCCCTGCCCCTGGGGAGTTTAGATTTTAGGGACAGAACTCAGACCACACACATAATACATGAGTAAATTGCATGGTAAGGAGACAGGAAGGCTGGGCAGTTTGCATGGGGAAAGGGAAATCTGATCCAAGTTTTCAGGATTTGGGGATGGACATCAGGCCTCTGAATTTCTGGGGAAGCGCATTCCCCTGCAGTGGGTACAGCCAGTGCAGGAGCCCTGAGCAGGAGCAAGCCAGTTTGATGGAAGCACGCGGGAGGCCATGGGCTGGATCAACGGGATGAAGAGGAGTGGCAGGAGGTAAGCCCTCTAGGGGTAGACCAGTTTGAGGCAGCTAGGGACAGGATCTGGTTCGAAAGGATCACCCTGGTGGCTGTGTGAGGACAGACTGTGGGAAGGCTCTCTAATGCACCAGAGGAAAGGTGCCCGCTCCTGCGGGAGTGGGCCCGGGGCCCCGGGCTCCCTGAGCACTGTAACCTGGGCTGCCGACCCTCCTCTTGCACTCAGGCAGCCTCAGCTGTTCTGCCCTGGCTGGGGCCCCGCTGCAGCTCAATCTCTTCCCATCCTTCCTCAAGGCCTTGCTTCCCATGTGGAGGCCTGAGTGGCATTTACAGGTAAATCCACCCAAAAAGAGCACACTGCCAAGGTCTGGCAGGACAGCCCCTCTAGCTACAGATTAAAAACAAAATTAAAAAGGTTAACTTTCACCTGGGGATTGTCTCCATCCAGTTGGGGGAGGGCTTCATACTTCATCCTTCTGCAGACCCCTCCAGGCTTCAAAGCTTTCCTCAGCCCCTCATTCCTACCAGCTACACCTGTACAATTTGGCTCACTCATAGCTTGCTTTCAGATGCCTCCATGGGCATCAGTTTGAGTCAGTAAAACACCTTTCCAGGCAGTAAAAGACATATCCCTATGAGGTCAGAAAGCTGGCTCAGTAACAAAGTCAAGTGGCTGGGGCCCTAAAGGGCAGGAGGAAATGGGCTCAGGGCTTGATATCCAGCCTGCTGGGTATACCTGGCCTGCAAGTGGCAGGTAAGTGGGGAGAGGGATGGAGGCAGGACCTGCCCGTCTCCCTTTTTGTGTTCATCTCCATCATCGTTTCTTATTTCCAGTAAGTTATTATTTCTTTAATAAAAATGCAAACTTTCACACCAATTCCGGATTGTGTCTGGGATCATAGAAGAAAATTGTGTTTTGTAAACATGAAATAACTCTCCAAAATTAAAGTAGCATCATTATCTGGGAAAACGGTCTCCAGCATTCTCCATTAGTGTTTGGAAATACCATGTTGAATACCTTCCAAACAATTAAATCCTATCAAGCTGTTTGAATTGTTCTAATAATCTTCATGGTCTCACTGCATCGCTCCTGGGGGCTCCTTGGACCCAGGGTTAGTTACATTTGCTACACTCTGCACAGACTTGTGGGGCATGGGGCGGCTCTGTGGGGTGGAGCTGGCAGGACACTGGGACAGGATCTGGTTCGAAAGGATCAATAGTCAGTACATCTGTTGAGCTCTATTAACTTGCACAAGTTACAACCTCTCAGAGGTTCAATCTCCTTAACTATAAAATGTCCTACTGACTCTACAGGGGCTTGGTGAATCATATGAGATAATGCATAGGAAAATCCTCTATTAATTAGACAGTACAGCACAATGCCAGTCAGCCACTTCAAAGGCTGACCCATCTGCAGATAGAGCTACAACATTATCTTATCAGCATTTTATTCCTGGTATTCCCAGATCCAAGTGTAGATTAAATACAGACATTTGAGGGACCTCCCTGCCTTCTACTCCTTAAGGTTATTTTGTTGTTTAGGAAAATAAGAAAGCCAGGGTGCTAGATCATGTTGCTCCTCAAGGTCTCTGAGTAATCTTAGACCACAAACACTGTGGTGGTAGGCCACTGCAGCCATCTGCAGTCATGGATAGGAGCTAAGGAATCCCATCAGTTAGCAGCAAGAATAAAAACTCAATAGTTAAAACCTGAATAAGCAGTGTTATCAAGTGGTTGCTCTGTGAGCTGTTACAGGGTTCTGTTGCATAATATTGGCTGGCCCAATAATTGGTGTGTTTAAAAGCAGTTTACAGAATACTTTATTTTTTTCCTGGTTGCAGGGTGACTTTGGGGCTGGGGCTTTGGAGGACCAACACGCTGTAGAATTGTAGAGCAGTTCTCTGGTCAGTGATCTCTTTATCAACACCCCCCAGCCCCCTGAGAATGGCATCACTGAGTCACTGGAGGGAGGTGTCCCTCAGATGGGTACCAGCCACCTTGCTGGCTGAGGGGAGCATGCTATAAAAAACCTGTGCTGTATGCAGTCAGCTCCTGCGAACAGGCTAGGAGGCCCTCATGTTCGCAGAATCCCAAGAAGAGGAGCAGAGAGGCATATTGTGAAAGCAGTGGCCATGGAGCCCCAGAGTCCTGGCTCCAGCACATACCACACAACCCTCCTGGATTGCCTAGGGCCCCTGGCCTGAGTTTTAGGTACATCCAAGGTTAACATGTGTTGAGTGATTACCTTGTGCAGAGCACTGTGCTGATCACTTTTCATGGGTTATTTTATTTTATTTTGCAATACCACTCTGAGCAAGGCACTAATCCTCCCTTCATTTGCTGGGAGAGCCTGCACTTAGGGCAGTGCAGACTGTTCCCACTCGATACTCTACATCTGTAATCTACCAATGTCCCATTGTTGTTTAATAAAAATATGTCCTTTCAGTTAAGAATGCCCAAATATTCTTGGAAATGTCTGTATCTCCCTCAGCAGCCACATAGCCAGAAAAGAATTTCCTCTGCATATGGAATTTAGGTGGGATTCTTCTGTTAGGTGTGTGGTATTATATTCTTCCTCTGGAAATGAAGGTTCACTTAGCTAATAATTAGCTTAGTATAAGGTAAGTGCTGTACAGGTATTATACACTGATCCTCAAAACAATTCTACAATATAGGCTCATATTATCTTCTTTATACAGTGAGAAGACCAAGGCACAGAAAGGTTAAGTGACACACCCAAAGTCACACAGCCATTTAATGGCAGAACTGGGACTTGGACCCAGGCAGCTCTTCTTACAGCCATTACTCTGCTTCCCTAGAAGGCATTCAACAGAGAGGGCATTTGTACTCCTTCCATTCCACCCATCTTTCGAATGGTCTGGGCTGTGGCTATATCACTACCAAAAGGTCCCAGACAAAGTATCATGTGTACACATCAAAGCTAAAGATGATCCAAAGTATATGGGGTCTGCTTTATGGGGAACAGAGAGACAAACTCAAAATAGGTCATCTTCCTGCTTGTGTCTTTTAACCCAAGAGCAAAAACTGAATTGAAAATGTTTTATTCCCATAATACTTTACTAGAAGTAGCCTATCTAAGTGGGTCCCCTTGGGATTTTATTTTGGGATAATAATATTTTGACTACAGATTTGGCCTTGAGATGTCATTTAATATGAAGATCTGTTCAGATAGCCAGAGTCAAACTAAGCTTTTAGTTTCTGGTAGAAAAGTGGTCATTCAGCTTTCCCCTATTAGATTGACATCCTTGGTGCCAACCTTTTAATACCCTTGGAGGACAACTTCCAGTGGCCTAATAAAATCATCACTGTGATAATGTACTACATACTTATGGAAACCAAGGTGATTTTATTAAGAGGCATTTTGCTTCATACAGGGAGTGAGATGGTACAAGTCATTTAAGATAACAAAGGTGCTCATTTTGTCCCAGAATTGGCTTGCCTTGCTGATTCAGCTTTGGAACCAGGGCATGTTGAACAGGCCAAGGAGGGAGAGGGCATTTTCACAACCAGTGGTGGCAGGGCCCCTCTGAGGCTCTGTCCCCAGAGGGGTCACCCCATTGTCACAGTGCTAGCAGCAGTGTTTTCTTTGGCCGTTCATGTGTGCTGCCCAAACGATGGCAAAGCGCTATTGAGCACAGCTCCTCAGGCTTCTCCATGGTGAAGCTCCTGGGAAAATTCATCTCCAGCTTCTAAATCAAGCTGTTCCAGGACCCCTGAAGCAAAGGTGTTTCCCCTAATGCTCTCCTACCTGTTGGAAGGTTCTCAGAAAAGGAATTGATTCCTAGCAACAGAAGCAAAGGGCAGATTCACCTTCTGGAAAGGTCTTACTTGGCTGTGAAAATATCTCCCAAAATGGCTGGGGGCAGGGGGCATCAGGCCTGGGAGAAGCGGGCAGGAGAATGTGGTTCAGTTATCTGAGGTCCAAACTAGAAGGGATCAGATGTTCGGTCTCTGGAGTAGCAGCCAGTTTTCAAAGACCAGGCCAGAAATAGGTCATGGATGAGGGACCAACAGTTGGCCAAGGGGATTCCACAGAGGGAAGCTGCTCAGTGACCTTGAGATTGAGCATCCTACTGTCCATCCTTTTGTTAAGTATCCTGCTCGGGGGAGAAAACTGCCTTCTCTGAGGTTCCTGATGAGGTCTACAGGCCTGGTGATATGGCTCCTCTTCCTGGGGTCAGGTCCTTGCTCAGGGAAACCTTGTTCAGTATGACTTTTAGAAAACCATTCTTGACAGCTCTTAAGGCCATGTAAAGGCTATACTCAGTTGAAGGATCACAGACCTAATAAGAAATTAGAGGGAAGGTGGACACTTCCCTCTTCCTCTCAAGGGAGGAAGGGTAGCCTTGGAGGACAGGTGACTGAGGTGATGGCAGGTAAGTCAGGACTATCAGGAAGATAGCCCCCTTTTTCCAAGTTTTGCTCACCAGGAGTTCCCGAGGCCTAAGATTTCCAGGTGTAGGCCCACTATCTCCTGACAATTCTGACCTCAGGAACCCGAGGCCTAGTAGGGTGGGAACCTAGGAGACATGAGCTGTCTTGATGCCTTTGCCTTGAAATCTAAGCTGTCCGTGTGTTCCTCGTGACCTTGGATTTCTGTGTCTGTATCTTTCTGCGTACATAGCATTCTGGCCAGCACTGCCTTCCAGCTCAGTAAAGTTCTTCTCAGCTATGTAGAAACTTTCACAGGTCTATGATTATAATTCTCATTTCTATAAGGTCTATATGGTGCTTTTTCAAACCCTTGTTATTGTTGTCTTTCATTTATTCTTCCTAATGGTTCTACATTGTATTTTATATTTTTTAAATGTCTATTTTAGAGTCTCTTCTAGATTGTTCAATCATCCTCAGGTTTCTGTTTCTCCCATGATGGTTTAGTGCCATGTGTGCATGTGTATGTGAAATCTTGTACAAGCTCCTCTTCCATAGATGGCATCTTTCCCCAGGAGCACATGGGCCTGGGCTGTCAGCTGTCTGCCCTAGTTCTGTGAAGGCATCTGTGGACATCAAGCATACTCCAGTTTGAACCATTTTCTCCTCAGCCAGAGATTCCCAATCCAGGTATGTTGTAAATTCAGATACCTTCACTGAACATCAAATGCAAGATTGGCTTTTAATTTTATTTACAAATTGGCTTTTAAGTTTATTTTTTCCTACCTGGAGCCCTGGGCCACACAAAAAGCTTAAAACCTATTCCAGCCATTGGATAGATTTTTCTGGACCCCTTCTCATAAACCAATAGCCCTTGTAGCCGCAGGGTTAAACCTCTCCTCTGACTCCTTCCATCAGTAGACCCAAGGCCACTTTCTCACCCACGCTCAGGAATGAAGGGTCTAGCTGTTAGCCTCCTGAGCTACTGTGGCTTCAGCTGAAGCTGACCATTATGCTTTGAGTTCACTCTTGGCTTCTGGCATGTGAGAGTTTGCATTTCTTTCTTTATAATTTAACTTGTGTTGAAAAACAACAAGCTTTCTTTTCATTCTATTTCATCCAGGACTTCTCTGTGTTAGTAACAGGAGAGATGTCTGAGTCAACTCGGTCCACTATGTTGCTGGAAGTCAAGCCTATTTACTAGCTTCTGGGAGCTGAATTTATGTACCAATCCTTGGCCTTCCCTGTCCCCAGTCACTGACTGAGGTCTTGCTATGAATCTGCAATGACACTGCCCCTGACTTGGAACCTCACTGCGCGGGGCCCTCTGACGCTGCTGGGTACTCATCTGTGCTGACAAAATCAGGACTACTTTTCCTTCCCCTCTGGATTTTCTGGTGGCTAGCTAAAAACCCTTTCATGAGCCGGCCACTGAGGGCATGTGTGAGGACAGGGATGTGACTGGTTGGAGCTTGTTTATGCCCCCTTCTGGTGGCCAGTTCCGGCATCCTGGCTGGGCAGGAATTTCTCACCTTAAGAATCCTATAATTCAGGGTCACAAATTCACTTGGAGATGTGAAGAAAGCTGTACCTACTGTCCTGAGAAAACAGCACAAGCCCAGAAACTTCTGCATGAATTTAGGGATTCACAGACCCTTTTCATTCCATATTAAGAACTTCTGCAGTAGAGGCTGACTGTTCTTTGGTGAATTGGAAACCCTAGTTTGCTAGCTTTATTCAAATCAACTCTAGCGAAAAACCTTGTTAAAATGAGACCCTGTGACATAATACCAATCTTTCCATTTTTAACTCCCTTAATGCCATCTTTAAACATAACAATGGCACCCAGAGTAATGCCACTAATTAGTGACAGTCTCCTACAAAATCTCTTCTTCAAAGTGCTTTTTATTAAATAATTGAACTTTACTGGTGCATAATTTCTTGAAATACTACTTTCTGACTCAAATCCATGTCATCTACAGGGTAGAAGCTTCACAAAATGAGTCAGAACTGATGTGGTATGGTGGAAATAAAGCTAGATTCTACATATAATTTGTAGGTTCGGAATCTGGCTTTGCTATGAACCTTCTAACAACTCTGGGAAATTCCCAGTCTTCTAGATTTCCTTTTCCTTATCTGCAGAGTGAGGAAATGGGACTAGGTCAGGGGTTGACAAACTAGGTTCCATCAGCCAAATCCTGCCTGTTGCCTGTTTTTGTAAATAAAGTTTTGTTGGGATACAGCCACACTCATTAGTTTTTATATCATCTATGACTGTTTTCATGCCATCTAGAGTTGAGTAGTTATGACAGAGACCATATGGCCTGCCAAGTCTGAAATATTTACGATCTTGCCCTTTACAGAAAAGTTTGTCAGCCTTTGGGCTATATGATCTCTCCTTCCCTTTCCACCTCTTGATGATCTGTGATTCTCAGAAGGAAAGGGAATATAACCCAGTCCAATTTAAGGTAACATTGTGGAACAGATGCAAATGATGGACAAGCTAAGACAACTCACTTGTATTACTTTGTTGAAGCAGCTCCCTCAAAACTGTGGCTAACAAACAGTCAAGTGAAACTATTTTAAACAATCATTGTGCTCCAAATTATTTCATAATCCAGACAGTCAGGGAGTCAGAAAGATCTTCCTCCAGTGTACCCGAATCAGTGAAATGGTAAAAGGTTACTTACTCTGATAATATACATTAATAAACACAATTAAGTTTATGAAATAACTGCCAGGATAGCATATACAAGCCCTTTTCCCAACTCAAATCCTATTTGGAAATGGAGCCCTTCTGATATAGACAACCAGTATTGTGTTCACCTTAGTGTGAACTTCTTGGGATGAACCTTTGGAAGACTGATTTATTTTTATGATCTGTGTTGTCCAAACCACACTTTCCAAACATCATGGAGCTAAGGAGTTACTATGCCACCAGGGAATGGCCACAGTGGCAGCCGTCCCAGAGGTTAGGTTTCCAACAATCTCAATAGATTGAACATAACTCTTTTTTAAATTGACTTTCTTATTCCCCTTCACTTAGTTCACCCAAAAAGGGATTATTTGAGCTAAGTAGCAAGAAACACTATTCTGAAATTAATATATTGAAAGCACTAAGACTCTAGATGAAGTGCTGAAAAATGAGACTGGATCCAGTCCCACAAATGCTCAAAATTCCAGGTCCAGAGGAGTGAGAAAAGTCTCCTACCATTGATGTAATTTTACCTAATGCTTTCAATCTATCCCAACCATCAGACTGTCACTTTCGTTTCTCTTCCAACAGCTTCTTTGCAGACAGCCACTTTTGAGTTTAGTGCAGTGGAAATAATATTTTATAGTGTGGGCCTTTTCTTAACTGACCCTGGGAAACATTTTTCAATAGCTTTAAAAAAATCTGTCTTCTGCCATTTTGTTCTAATGGTGGCAATTGAGACAAATTGCCCCAAATGATAGGATACATATGATGACAAAGGACATAGCATTTGAATCCCTCTCCCCTCCTTCAAAACACAGGGGGTTTGTACTCCAATCCAGCTATTGTGGTTCCCTGAGGTCACGGCTAGAGTTGGGCCGGTAAAGTCAAGATCTCCAAGGTGCCCAAGTGCTTGGTGAACAGAACAGAAAGTCAAGTACTTCTGGGGAGACTACAGAGCACTAGAGACTTTCCCAAACCTTAGGTATTATGTAAACTGGGCAGAAACTGCCAATTTTGGCAATCTGGGGAGTCGTTGGTCAGCCCCACAATTGCTGTTCTTGCTTAGGAATTTATCTTCTGCTCCCTCCGAGGTACCATAAAAATACAAACTAATCACATACATTTTTCATTTCTAACTTTTTTTTTCTGGGAGATTTCAAGCATCATTTCATGCAACTCACTCAGCATTCCTGTCTTCCTCCTGGCCCTATGCTTTAATTCCTTTTCCCAGGAATCATGTTGTATGCGCACTTTCTCTCTTCCAAAGGGGCCCTTATCCCCTGACAATCTCTTAAACTAATTCCTGGTCTTTCTCATGGGTCACAGCTCTGTCTTTTGCTCCTCTTCCTGATCTCACCTCACTCCTCATTCTGGCTGAAAAAATATTTGAACTCCTTTGCCATTTGGGGGCAAAAACAATTGGGAAATTACCTAGAAAGAGAGCTTTGGCTGCTCACAGCTTCTTGGGGGGTGGGGGGTTGAACTTCTTGGGATGAACCTTTGGAAGACTGATTTATTTTTATGATCTGTGTTGTCCAAACCACACTTTCCAAACATCATGGAGCTAAGGAGTTACTATGCCACCAGGGAATGGCCACAGTGGCAGCCGTCCCAGAGGTTAGGTTTCCTACCAAGTCAGACTTCCAACAATCTCAATAGATTGAACATAACTCTTTTTTAAATTGACTTTCTTATTCCCCTTCACTTAGTTCACCCAAAAAGGGATTATTTGAGCTAAGTAGCAAGAAACACTATTCTGAAATTAATATATTGAAAGCACTAAGACTCTAGATGAAGTGCTGAAAAATGAGACTGGATCCAGTCCCACAAATGCTCAAAATTCCAGGTCCAGAGGAGTGAGAAAAGTCTCCTACCATTGATGTAATTTTACCTAATGCTTTCAATCTATCCCAACCATCAGACTGTCACTTTCGTTTCTCTTCCAACAGCTTCTTTGCAGACAGCCACTTTTGAGTTTAGTGCAGTGGAAATAATATTTTATAGTGTGGGCCTTTTCTTAACTGACCCTGGGAAACATTTTTCAATAGCTTTAAAAAAATCTGTCTTCTGCCATTTTGTTCTAATGGTGGCAATTGAGACAAATTGCCCCAAATGATAGGATACATATGATGACAAAGGACATAGCATTTGAATCCCTCTCCCCTCCTTCAAAACACAGGGGGTTTGTACTCCAATCCAGCTATTGTGGTTCCCTGAGGTCACGGCTAGAGTTGGGCCGGTAAAGTCAAGATCTCCAAGGTGCCCAAGTGCTTGGTGAACAGAACAGAAAGTCAAGTACTTCTGGGGAGACTACAGAGCACTAGAGACTTTCCCAAACCTTAGGTATTATGTAAACTGGGCAGAAACTGCCAATTTTGGCAATCTGGGGAGTCGTTGGTCAGCCCCACAATTGCTGTTCTTGCTTAGGAATTTATCTTCTGCTCCCTCCGAGGTACCATAAAAATACAAACTAATCACATACATTTTTCATTTCTAACTTTTTTTTTCTGGGAGATTTCAAGCATCATTTCATGCAACTCACTCAGCATTCCTGTCTTCCTCCTGGCCCTATGCTTTAATTCCTTTTCCCAGGAATCATGTTGTATGCGCACTTTCTCTCTTCCAAAGGGGCCCTTATCCCCTGACAATCTCTTAAACTAATTCCTGGTCTTTCTCATGGGTCACAGCTCTGTCTTTTGCTCCTCTTCCTGATCTCACCTCACTCCTCATTCTGGCTGAAAAAATATTTGAACTCCTTTGCCATTTGGGGGCAAAAACAATTGGGAAATTACCTAGAAAGAGAGCTTTGGCTGCTCACAGCTTCTTGGGGGGTGGGGGGTGGAGGAAGTACCTAGAATGTGGGTCATGGCTGCAGAGTGGGATGGATATATGACTTCATGAGAGCTTAGACTGTTGAGAACATATTCACTGTCAGAGTCTACATAAAAAAAGGACAAAAGAATAGAAAGTTCGCGTGATCAGCATCACAGTCCTTTGGTTTGCTGCCCTTGCATTTCTTTACTGAATCTAGTAAAGAAATGTTTATATTCATTGCCTTGTTTGGCACTGAAACATGGGTCTTGCTCATGACCCTGCCATGAACTGCTTACTTCCGCCAACTATCTCTGTTCAGATCTTGGTTCTATATTTTGCTTTACTGTTTGTTTTCCTTTTTGACTTCCTGGTCTAAACACTGTTGAGTTCGCCTTCTGCCTAATACAGCTGTAATACTTTCTAAATTAAGTGCTGGTAGTTTCCAAAGTACAAACACCAAATTTATGAATGTCACTTACACAGCATAGCCTGCCCCTCCTCGTCTCTGAGTGTCATCGCCAGAGCCATTCATTGGAGGGAATTTTCTCTTCTCAGTAAGGTTTTGGCAGCAGGAGGATTCCTCAAGTCCAGTTTTTTTAGGAGACTGATTTCCCAAAGAAACCTTTGTACTTGATGGTCTAGGTCCTAGATCAACCCACAAAGCCCATTTAATCCATAATGCACCTGAAAAAGACAAAAAATACAACTGGTAAAGGATATTTTTGCTAATGTGTAACATTTCATTTACATTAGGGGTTGAATTTGCAAAGCCACATCTATTACTAAGTTCCTATGGGAAAATATTTGCTCCAGTTCCAAAATCTGATTTACAAATAAACTCTTAGAAGAAAAATCCAATCTAAATTTATAGCTTCCTAGATTAGCTCCAGTTTTCAGCAAGTATTTTTCCCTCTGTTTGCACAAGTCATCTGGAGTTGGGTTTATGAAGGCTATCTCTGCAGCCAAGCCCAAGTCGTGAGGCAGGCACCTGTCTAGTGTAAGACATCCAGGTATCCAGGGGCTGAGGAAAGGGAGTCTCTGTAGCCAGAAAAAGGGGTTTTGGTTTCAACTTGGACAGAACTTTCCAGATTACTACTAAAATGCTTTAATAGTGATGTGTAGAAAGAGCATCAGATTTTTAAGTGAATTCTCCCTCGACACCTCAATTATCTGATCTGTTGTGAATGAGTCTTTCTTAAAGCAAATAGAAAACTTGAACTTCTAAATTGGTACATTGGGGAGTGGTGCTCCACAATAAGATGGGATTAACACATATTGCATTTATCCAGAACTCTTTGTCCCTGCAGCATTCCTACAGCAGCCAGTTGACGGTATGAGAACATGGGTTTGGCACTGTTTTTCTGGTGTGTTCACCTTGACAGAGTGATCTCTTGAGTCTAATTAACAGTAACTGAAAAGGTGTCCTTGTGAATGCAATATCAGGTCATAAGCCTGGCTTCTGGGCTACATGGTCTGGGGTACTTGCTTCTAGGCCAAATCACAATAGTCAACCTGCGCTCACCCTGACACTGTAGCTCTTTTGTTCATGAGACTTGTAAGTGGCATTTTATTTAAGCTATAAGGACTGGCAGAGAGGGCATTTCCTAATACTTAATGACCAACTGGAGGAATTGTGGGCCTAAAGCAATGCATATAATATGCTATTAAACTCTGAAATTTAAAAATGTAAAGAAAAAATAACTACCTTCTTATGCATGTTACCATGGATACCAACTGTTGTTTATACTTTAAGTCTTTTCTTAGAGGTTAAAGTCCAATTGAGCAGCCAATAGGAAAGAAAAACTTCAGTCTCAATTTCCACTCACTTTATGTTTGACATTACCTAGTTAGAGTATGTTTCTTTAAGAAGGGGCATGTTACCCTGGGAATATAGGATATGTAACATGTGATACGATTGCTATGATAAGTATTCATATTTTATTGAACAGTTTGGCAATCAGTATTTAAAATCAGCTAACCTTGTAGATAATCACGTTCTGTTTCCCTAGAGTAGCAGTAACTTTGATACCATTCTTTATACCCACCAAAGAATGTGCCGTTTTTCAGTCTTCAAATTGCATGTACATATTTTACACATTAGTGCCAGAAACACTTTTTCAGTTGGATCTGTTATTACAGCACATAACTTAGAGATTAACATTTAAGCATGAAGGAGAAAATACTCAGAGAAGCATCTAATACCCCATAATTTACATTGTAACTATTTGTTGTATAAGTTTTTAAACTCTTGGAATGCTTTTTCTTTTCTAACTCTTAGGGAACCACAGGACTTAGTTAAATCGACCTCACACCCCTGCAGAGGTGCTGTCCCAACTAATATAATGAACTCCTCATTATCTATAAAAGGGATAAAAAAATTCATAGGAAAATTTAGAGACTTATCTACAACTCCAAACTTTCTCCCACGGGTAGTTTTCCACAGTTACTAGCAAGACTTATCTGCTTGTATTTTTCTTTATTTTATTATAACTGATGAATCATATAGCAAGCTTTTATCAAATACTTAATACAGAAATACCACATTCATTCACTTATTTACCTATTAGGTATTTGTAAAGTATACTGAGCTCTGTCATGAGCCAGACCATAGAAGCATACTGTGAAATCAAAGAGCCACAGTTGCCGACCTTGAAGACATTTATATGCTAAGGAATCAGGTGTGTAACATAAATTGCAGAATTTTACAGGAAGTGCTGCCCTAGAGGTATGATGATGAGGTATGTTGGGAGCAGAAAGAAAAACAACAGGAATTCTCCTGTAGCTTCAGGGCAGTTTCTCCATGTGGGTGACATTTACGTTAGATGTGAACTGTCAAGCTGTAGGCACAATTATAAAGTTACTGTTATTATTTTGTTTCCTTATCTATTCTATAAGAATACAAAGGTGTATAAATTCCTAAAGAGACTATTACTCAGTTGGGAGTCAAATATAAAAATTGATAGTGGTTATGCAGCGTATTTTAATACACTTCCCCTTCAGATTTCCCCCCAGATATTCATATCTATAAACAGTGTCAAATTTACGTAGAGAACTATGTTTTGAAATGCAGACACCAGGAGTTCCTAGGAAAAGGAGGTGGACAGGATCTACTGTGTTGATTTCCACATTGAAAAGCAATGCTATACCATTACATTTCCTGTGTTTATAAAGGTGCATCTGGAGAATCCTGACACTTTCCTTGAATAACTTTTATCTATAGAAGTCCAGATCATGCCCAGGGCCAGTGTGATTTATCTGCATCCTTAGAGTCAGATTGTACAAGTTAAGAGCATAAATCTGAGTAGGAGGGAAATAAAGGGATTAGAAGAGAATTCATTAGGGAAGGCTGCCGAGATCCCTTGGATTTGAGCAAGTTTTGGGGGACAGAATGAACATATATTCACAGAGAAAGGCAAGAATGGACAAAGATGGCCAGTCAGTATCCGGCCAGTCCTGGGGGTTACAGAAAGCAGATTCGCTTCCTCCAAACAGAAGAGCTGGCTGGCTGGGGAGGAAGAAGAACTTAGATTAAACAGATAAGGGCAGGAAGGGGAGCAGATGGCCGGTGGCCCCACTGTTGGCTCAAGGAGTGCAAATGGATGCTACTGTCCTCAGGGCTTCCACAGATGTCATCTCCGGATCACTTTGCCTGATCTCCATCTCTTGTCTCATAGCGTTTAAAAATGTCGAACCAAATGATCTGCTTAAACATTAGTCTCTGCTCTTTGTCTGCATCCCAACCCTGATCTCCTGCAGTGCAATCTTTGTGTCCTATTGCCTGCTCAGGGCCCTGCGCAGGGACTGCCCGTGAGGGCTGGCTGGACCGGAGGCAACAAAGAGTCACTGAGGGGCACCCCTGGGCCAGCACTCTTCCAACAGCCAAGGAACCTGTGGTGAGAAAGAAACGCCTTGTCTCTGATTAGAGGGCGCTCACCCGCCGCCAGGGCATCCGGGAGCTGCTCTAGATTCTTGTGCAGAACAGACATAAAGAAACTGAGGAGGAGTCATTTGGATCTCAGGGTGGGGAGCATTCACTTCAAGTTGGAGACCAACTGGGGGCTGCAGCCTTACTCCATGTGTGACCATATGAGGAGCTAAAGCTGGCATGCTGGGAGAAGCCCAGGGTACTAATGGCCCAGCAGGTGGCTGATCACAGCTGAGAGTAACAAGGCCACCAAAAGCAGAGAAGTTTCCTGCGAATAGCAGGCAGCCTTTCCGTGGAGAAGTGTTGGGTGAAATGCAAACGGTTTTGAGAGGAAGAGGAAAAGTACTGTTGCAAGTATTTTGATATCAAAATGCATATTGATGAGGCAAACGGGAGAGCGAGGCTTGGAAGCTGTTTGCCTAGACACCTGCCCTTTGCTGGCTCGAGAGCTCTTCACCTGGACACCGGCCCTGTGCTGGCCAAGTCAGTTGTGCAGGTGCTGTGAGGAAGGGGCCTCCTCTGATTGAGAGAGCACATGGCCTAGAAGGGATGAGCTCTGACTCAACCTGACAGAACCTGGCCTAAAACATTCACCTAACTGCTTGGTTCTCCTCACCTCTCCATTCCACATCCACCCCTTCTTCCCAGACTCTGCAGCCATCTTATGATGGGAGCATAGAGCTATTGTGCCCTCCCTTCAAAGCTGAGGAGCTCAGGGGGTTGGTTCTTACCTTCCTTTTAACCAGAGATGTTTTGAGCTGATAGGATCATCCAAACCATGAAAGGCAGAGCTAGGGGGAGCTGGGAGGGAAAAGGGTCAGGTGTGGTCCACTGGGACCATGTGACATGACACCATCGCATGATGAATAGCCTATATGCCCCTTTTAACAAAAGATCTGAGGAGTTTGATATCAAGTGGAAAGTCTAGTTCATATGCCTCAGAAGGATCATATGAAAAGGGAAAGAAGTTCTCAATTTCTTACGTCAAAAGACAAAGTGTGGATGCTCATCTTCCATGGTATCTTTGTCAGAAGCATTTGCCTGTGAATACGGCCATTTAGGCTTGTTACACGATTCGTGTCAGCAAATGATCATGTGTGCATTTTCTCTATACTTGTCACCTCAATGATAATATATAGTTGAGGGGATATAGGCTCAGCATATAGTCTGTACAGAAGAATTTGCAGTGGAGCATAGAGACTTACTCTGTTTGTGTAGAGTGCTAAATTGTTGAAGAGGCTTTCTAAACTACTTCCTTAGACCAATAATTTTTTGTTGTGCAACTTGGAGAAACCACCTTGTTCTTTTCCCAAAGTCTCCTATGTCCTAAACTGGAAGTGGCAAGGAAGAAAAACTGCTTTGCTGATTTGTCCAGGAACTCAGAAGTAAGTGAACACTCACACAAAGAGATGGCGGCTGGGGACATACTAATGCCATTTTCTTGATCTGTTCTGAGCTCCCCAAACCTCCACAGAATTTATAGAGCTGGTATTGGGTGAAGATAATGTCATAATTTAAGAAAAGATTAATAATGTTTGATAAAAATGAATCAAATGTTTTAATTTCTGCATGGAATGTGAACCCCAGCATCCATCTGAATTACTAAACATTTGCTTTATCTGGTTGGTTCAGTTTTAAGAATTGACTGGGCTGAAAAACAAGCCATGCATGCCAAGAAGGCACAAAACCTTAGGATCCTAGGAATGAGTTTATGAATCCACAAGTTCTCCTCTAGTTTCTGACCACGTATCAAAATTCTGAGGAATGTCAGCATCCACTTAGCTCTGTGGAAATACAGTCTCTTTGATGAAATGATTGCATCTACTTAGCTCTCTGTGTAAATACACTCTTTTTTATGAAATGACTAAAATCCAAACTGAGAACTGAAATCAGGGTTGGAAAACTGGCATTTGCAGTGAGATGTGCCCAGATTGAATGTATTCAAAAGTTCTCAAAAAGAGTTCACTTTGCTCATATATATGTATTTGATCAAAATCTATTGGCAACTAGTAAGAGGCTCATAATTACAGTTGGGTATTAATAAGAAATAACCTTTTTATAAGCAGAGTTTTTTCATTCACAGGTCTCACTGGCCTATGAATATGAATTATCTCATCTGGTAATAACCCAAGTTTTACTGGCTGTTATGGGTCATGTTCCCAGGGAAACAGTTTATTAGGGAGTGCTCTTGGGATCACTTCCTGTGAAGGAAGAGGGGAAAAGCAGGACAGGAGTAGACAGAGGAAGAAGGTGAGATGTGAAGCAGTCTCAGGGAAATCATCAGCTGCCCCACGTGGAGTTCTGGACCTGGGGTGGCCTTTCAGAAGTGTCCCAAGTTGGTGCAAGAGGGTTACTCAATACAGGTTGTCCTTGGAAGGAGGTGTGACTTTCTGATCACCAGGCAGTTTTCTTTAGATGAGGCAAACCCACAAACTAACAGCTGAGGGCCAACTTCTGAGGCACTCCCAGCAGCTGGGGAATAAGACCTTCACTCCTGACCAGGAATCTTCCTGAATAGGAATCTGGACAGTGCATGAAAGCATCCACTACAGTCCACCCCTTGCAGCATTTGGCTCTTCTTTTGCTTATAGGTTCTGGGAAAAGCTCCTCCAAGATACCGGTGAGCTTTTGTTCCCAGTAAGGACTTAGAAAAGAAGGTCAGTGGGACAAATAATAGATACTGCTCATTTCAGGCTGACAGCTTTACTCATCTTTTCCCTCCTCTGTTATCTAGTGCAGATTTTTCTCACTTTCAACAAGGACCTCTGCCAATCTGGTGCCTTTCCTGGTGAGGAGACCAGACCCTCATCCCTGTTGCATTGAGACCCTGGCCACTATGCCCTTCTCAGGCTGTGGTATGTCTTCTTTCAGAGTTGGATAAGGGAGTACCAAGAGGTACCGAAGTAGATCCCCTAGGTTCTACATTGTTCCTGCCCTCCTTGGATATAACAGGATGCCTCTCTTCTTCCTGATGATCAGGTTCAATGATCCCTTCCAAGACAGGGGACTCCTCTTCTGGCCTATGGCCCCTTGGCACAAGGAGCTACAAGTGCCCATGGATCAGCCACAGTTACAGTTCGACGGGGCAGTTGCTGTGTCCCCTTTCAGAAGCTTTCCACCTTTAGGAACCAGGACCTCAGAACCCACAGAGCTCAGTGTTGTGAGGATGGGAAGCCCAAAGTCTTCCAGTAGGTCAGTGGGTATGATGATCAGCAGGACCATTCCTGCATCTACTCTGTTGTGCCTGGACTCGCGTGTCCTACATTGTGAACACAATGCCACATACAGGTCTTTGATTAAGGCCTGCTCCGCCTCCTGGAGAATGGTACCCCAGCCTCACAAGCTATCACCCTTGAGCTAGCATATCATGCAAGCTTTCAATGGGTCTGTCTATGCTATGCTCTGGCTGGCTGGCAGCTTCTAGATGGTAGGGCATGAGAAAGACCCAGTGGAGTCCATGGCCCTGTGCCCATTCCAACAACTCCCTTGCTGAAAAGTGTGTTCCTTGGTCTGATCTGATGTTGTGTGGGATCCCATGACAGTGGGCTTACCACTGTGCAAGCCTGGGATAGTGATGCTAGCTGAGACTCTAAGGAACTGGAAATGTAAACCCATATCCAAAATATGTGTTAATTCCTGTTCAGATGAATTACTGCCTCTTCCAGGGTGGAAGACGTCCAGTGCAGCCAGTTTGCTACAGTGTCTGGTTGGGCCCCCTGAGGGATGGCCCTGTACTAGGGACTCAGTATCACTCTCTGCTGCTAGAATGTTAGCCACTTGGCAGAGCAGTAGCTAGAAAAGCTTTGGCAAGTGGGAGCGCAGGCTAGTGGGCCTGTGCATAGCCTCCATCCCTGCCACCATGACTCTTCTATTCATGTGCCTCTGGCTGCCATCAGTTGATTAGTCATTTTATCTCCTGCATGCTTGGTCCTCCCTCTTGTGTGACAACAAGATATTCACACTGTGCACCTCTCACAGGTCCACAAACTTGTCTATGTGGACCTCCTTATTGTGTCAGTTTTTCTCCTTCAGGGACCTGTCCATTTGGTCAAGCCATCTGCTGTTACCCATGGGTCTGCCTCTGGGCCACTTCTCTTTCCACACAAAGTGGATGGCTGGGGACACCACCTGATGCTTTCCCTCATCGCTGTCTTTCAAGGCCACTTTTCAAGGTGACTGTGGGGCAGTCACCACCCATTTTCAGCTTGCTCCCACCTACAGAGCCGGCCCATGATGCAAACTTGGACTCCTTCTTCAATTGGCTGATCATAAAGGTTCCCCCATGTGGTCACAGGTGTGAGCTGATGGGGGGGTGCTGATGAAGTAAAAGAGGGGGGCATGGGGCTCCTGTGCAGCTTAGGTGTGTCCTCTGCTCCTGCCTGTATTTAATTCCAGAGCAACCAGTGCAGTCTCACAATGGATTGTTCCTTACCTCTCCTGTGATGCAACATGGCAGTTCTGACAGAGCCTAGTCATGACCCACTGCTTTGGCCACATGATCAGTTGGTGTCCCATGGTTTGGTGCTCTGTCTCTACCAGGTCCCCACAGCATGCCACAGCTATGACTAAAAAGTGGGGGAGTTCTCTGCTGCAGATGGCATAGCCTTGCTCCCAACCCCTGGGTATCCGCATTGTGATTTTCCCATTGGGGTTTGCCAAAAACTCCGCATGGAGTCTCTTCCCACCACTGACACCTGTAATACTAGAAGGCCTATTGGTGCACGTGGCACAAGTGGTAGGGCTGCTAGCACAGCAACCTAGACCTAATGCAGAGCCCTTCCTTGTTCTGATCCTCCCTCAGCACTGCTAACATTTAAAAGTTTTGGTGAAAGCAGTATTCCAGGCATGGAATAGGTTGCTTCCAGAGCTCATATGCACTTATCAGGCTTTGTGCTTCCATCTTAGTGGTTGGAAGTGTAAGTTGAAAAAAATCATTTCATACTTTGGATGTGATGTCCTCACATGCCCCCGGCCACTGCATCCATAAAAACTTTACCAATGTGGCCGGTCCCCGGAAGGAGGCCGATATGAATTCCGAGGCTTATTAGTGATTAAACAAATTCAGTAAATGTTCTCCAAATGAGGACCATAAAACTTTCCACTGCCATATTTAAAGACCATGATGTTCTTGTCATTTTAAACAGCTTTGTCACTTGGTAAAAATATTACATGTGACTTTGAGACATTTGGGAAATATGAATTTTTTTAAGGCATACTCACACTGATCTTTGCTTATTTATACTCCCAAATCCATAAATAGAGCAAGATAAAATGAGTGAATAAAACATTTAGGAGGAAGTTAAAAATACTGACTGGAAAAATTAAACAGAGCCAGGTTAAAGTTAGTAGACAAAAGCACAGGGCTAAAGTAGCTGATCAGTTGCCAGATGCGGACTACAAACTTCATTCTGGGTCCTGCTGTCGCTGAAGCAAAGGCAGACATGACTAACCATTTTCATGAAGACTCACCTTATCCAAAGCAAGGAGAGAGGAAGGTACATCGACTGTTTCATACACGTAATAGCTGGATGGAGACTCACAGTGTAAAGAGGGGTGAGATGAGAAGGTGTGAAGACAGCTGAGATACTATACATCCATTTGGTAAAAAATATTGTCAAAATGTATCAATTATAAAATAAATCAAGTCTTGGGCCTGAAAAGAACAGCATAGGAAATATAGTCAAGAATACTGTAATATTTTTGTATGGTGACAGATGGTAGCTACACTTTTCATGGTGAGCATTTGATGAAGTATATAATTATCAGATCACAATGTTGTACACCTGAAACCAATATAATACTGTATTTCAACTATAGCTCAATTAAAATGGAAATGTTCAAATGATTTGGACTTAGCCTGGGTCTCCCATGATAGATCCTGGGACAAGGGCTTGAGCACAAACACTTTATTGGGGAGTGTGATCTGATGAGTAAGGGGCAAGAAGGGTGGAAAACAAATACAAGGGTGAAATAAGAGGTTAGCCACAGCTCCTAGTGAATGGTTGCTGGCTCCTTTTGGGCTGCCTGAGGATGTGTGTGAAAGACATAAGGACTGCTCATAGGGGGAGGAAAGGAAAGCATTTATCCATTAGCACTTATGTTTCATGAGTCACAGGTGTGCCCCCAAACTAAGTCCAGTGCATTTCAGAGAGTGGCCCAGGGCAGGCTGTGGAAGCTCAAGCAGGGGCGTGAGGCAGGGGCATGAGGCAAGTCCTGTTAGGATGCACCTACAAGAAGCTGCTTAGAGATTGCATCAGCATCTGGAATTAGGTACAGGTAGTGTATTTCCTTTTTAATTGAACTATAGTTGAAATACAATATTATATTGGTTTCAGGTGTACAACATTGTGATCTGACAATTAGCTAATACCTATTAGCTAAAGGTAGTGGCACCTAAGAGGTGCCTGGTACACACTCCAGCTCTAAAAATGGATTTTTTTAAAGCATCTTCTTAGAATCTTTTGATCTCTAGCAAACTGCTGATCCCTAAGGACTGACCCCCTGCAAGAGTTAAATGATATCAGGATACTTGGGCCACAAACACTGTTCTGGGCATCAAGATTCTATCTGTGAAAAGAGCCAACAGTTTTTAAGTATGTCTTTTGCTTCCTCTTTCAAAGTATGAAACTTTCATGAATGCATTGGAGATTATATCTGAGAACAGATTTACTCGAAATGTCTAGCCTAGCAAACTGCCCAAGTTAATATCCTTTGGAGAAAATAAGTTTTCAAAGAAGTAAAACTGTTGATATTATACATATGGGTAAGAAACCATTTCTACACTCATTTTTAGAGTACTTTTGAATTTCCAGAAGCAGATTTCTTTCAGGCTGGGCAGATCAAGTGTAATTTTAAACAGTGTGAATTTTCACACTGTGGTCTAACATATAGCCCCTGAAAATTTGTTCTTGAATCTGTCTTGATTTTTTTCACAGTCAAATGAGGCTACAACAAACAAAGCAAAATCCTGGTTACTTTTTAACTGTAAGTAGGTCTCTATTCTTTAAAATACTATGGTCTCCTGGATCATAATCCCGTTGCTGAGGAACTTTTCAATTTTCACTAAATCAGTCCTGGAAAACTGACTGTAAGCAAAAGTTTTTAATCTTTATATACAGCTGCTCCTCTCCTCTATTTGGGAATAAAATGTAATGAAATCAAAGCTTAAATTTACTTAGTGAGAGAGCCCAGAAAATGCTGTTAAAGAATTAGCATCCTTCTCACTGGAAAAGCAATGGTGAAGGTCAAGAATGCTTCTCTTGAGCTCAGAAGGCAGCAAGCAGAGAAAAACTCATCCGAGAAAAACTCATCCCTCAGGCCATAGTCCTCTGTGATCTTCTCCACTAACACAAGACTTAGTTAAATTAACTGATTAGAGGTTGAATATTTAATTTTAATTAATCAATTACTAGCATGAAATACAATGTATATCCAACATGAAAATTCTAAATACATACAAGAGCTTTTAAACTCTTAACACCACCATCAGGTTGGTACTATTATTTCCACTCATAAATAAAGTGGCTGTGGCACAGAGAGGCTAAGGGCTGCCTCCAAAATCACACAGCTAAGAGGTGGTGGAGCTGGATTCCAATTCAGGTAGCCCTATGCCTCCAATGCCTCTTTAATCTACATCCTCCGTTGTTTCCTTACTTTCAAAAACAGGGAACAAATTTGTCCACAGGGTAACAAAGAAACCAAGAGGAGACCCACCTTGCATGCTGATAAATCCATCTGGTCCTGCTCTCCCTGCAGCTGCCCCTTCCACCTCCCAGGACCTAGGTGGAGCTGGTGGAAACGGAGCAGCAAAGTTACCATTTAGCTTCATCCATACCCCAGCTGCTAAATGTTACTAGATGCTTCTGGAAAACAAGAATCTGGGTTAGGACACTGCATGAGCGTATTAAAGGCTCAGAGAAATCCTGCAGCTCAGAAATCTGTTTTTCAGGGCTCAACCTGCCTTCCCCAAACTTGTTACAGGCAGCATCTTTTTCTGAGGAGCACCTACCTCACACTGATTCTGCAGAAGACAGTTTTGAAGTCACAGAGCTGCAAGATGTCTAAAAATAATGTATTCTAAACCAAGGGTTCTGTTCCCATGTGATACTCAGAGTGGAGCAGTCTGAGAAAATGGATGAATGGGTTTCTCATTAACTTAAGAAAAGGCTGATGATTGATCTCGGTTCACCAGACATTTAGGGACACAGTGGGACAGGCACTGTGGTGGGTGTGGAGACAACCTGTGAATGGAAAGACCAGTTTCTGTCTCAAGCAGCTTACAGTTGAACAGTGATAATGTACAGGCCCAGTGCACAGGTCACAGGTATCACAGAGGAGAAGTGGGAGGTGCTGCAGATCTCTTTAACAGGAAGACCTTATCGTGTCAAACCACCAGGGATGTGGCATTTCACTTGAGGCCTGAAGGATGAGCAGGAGGTAAACAGGTTTCGGGGTGTCACACAATGGGACAAAGGGCCCTTCTCCTGCTAAGCGGCCACTCACTCTTTCAGGCTCCCGTGAGACACCCCTCTCACCCGGAAGCTAGGCTTAGGGACCTTCCTACTGCCATCCGCAGTACCCATCACCAGAGTCCTGGTTGGCTGTTCACTTGCACAAACCGCCCCTTATAAAGTTGGCCACACCTTGAGTGCTGAGTTCCATTTCTCATATCCCTGGTTTGTCGCCTGGTGTCTGGCATGGAGGAACTCAATCAAATGTGAAAGGGAAAGGGGGGAAGAAGGGGAAGCGAGGACAAACTCATTAACTAATAGCCCTATGCACATGTTCATTCCCCACCACGTCCGGTTTTCTGTCATATCAAAAAACGAGAGGGAAGAGCTACACTCAGCGTACGCAGGACCGCTTCCCGCGCCCGACCACACACGTGAATTTCGTCTCCATACATTTGTGCTACGAGCTGGAGACACAATGATGAGTAAGGCGCAGTGTCTGCATTCAAGGAGCTTGTGATCCAGTGCAGAAAACTCAACAGAAATGCAGTTCTTTCAACCTTGCACCCTTCTGCCCAAAAGGCAGGATGAGTACTGATATGAGCCGGCCAGGCAGCATTCGGGTCTTGCCCACGGACGGCCTGTTTAGAACTGCCCGCCCAAAGTCGCGCGTGGGGACGGGCAGAGCTGGATTTCTTGCTCTAGTTCCAACAAACTTTCCTGCCCATCCGCTGCTTCTTCCCTGTCAGGTGGGTCAGGCCAGACTCCATCTGCCCCCAGGAGAGGCCACGAGCCGCCCAAGCCTCCACTACAGAGGGTGGTCCAGAGGCCCCCTCCCCGAACCCGAGAAGCCGGTCCCTCTGCACACCCGGGACGCCCACAAATCGCAGTCGCCCTAAGGCCGGCGCTCCCCCTCCGCGAGCCGCCCCCTCCCCCGCCTACGACACCCGGGTCACGTGAGGGACCAGCACCGCCCCCCGCCCCCTCCCCACTCAGCTGCTGCCGGAGACCGGGACTCGGGCGGGCGGTGCCTATGCTCGGCCCCTCCCCCGGAGCCAAGGACCGTGCTAAGCTAGGGGCTCGGGTGAAATCAGAACCAGTGTTCTAAATGAAGGGGAGCAGATGTCCCTGTTGCCGGGGAGGCCTGGGTGGCCTGCTGTTCAGGCAGAAATCGCTGAGGCACTGACCTTTCGGGCTGCTGTCAATCTCCGCGTGCAGATGGCCAGCCCCAAGCCCCGCACGCTCCTCTGCATTGGGAATGCGGCCGCAGGGGGATCCGGCGGCTGGAGTGAAAAGTCTGCGTAGGGGGCGGCGGCGGAGGCCCGGCGGAGACTGGGGGCAGGAGAGAAAGGCCTGCGTCGCGTACAAAGGCGCCCCCGCGGCGGCCCCTCGGCGCACAAAGCAGTCCCCTGGGCCCGCGGTGGCTGCGCCAGGCCGGCCGACCGCGCTCCAGCTGCCTCTTCACAACAAGGCCGTGCAAATGTGCCCGCCTGATTCTAAATCCTCTTAGGCGCCATCATGTGAACGAGGAAAGGGGTGGCCTTACAATCCTTTACAATCGGGGGCCTGGGAACCCTGGTGCTCGGCAAAATGTCTGCACCACGCATGCAAATAGAGCCCATCGCTTGGAGAAATTGGCAGAAAATCTTTCTGTCCCGTAGGTAGTGAACAAAACCGACCAAGCTCGTGCAGTAAACACTCCTATCGGGCCCTTCAGTGCCACGCGGGCTCCTGAGAAATGTTCAGGGTGTTTTCCCTGGAAGAGGCTTCCCGTTAAACGTTCAGAAAAGTCAGCTAAGCTGCACAGTCATTAGTCACCCAGGTATTTATACTGTTTTTCCCATTTCCTTTCTCTTCTGGCCTCTGTGGTCAGTAGTATAAAATTCCTAGGAACTCCCACCTAAACACTAGCTTCCTGTTTATTCTCTAAATGGCTTTAATGTTTAGCCGTTAAAAGCAGTTGACTAAGTTGACCAATCTATGAAATAATCAGCAGAGGTTTGCAGGTGAATAAGAAAAAAAAACAAAACTGGTAGGTCAAAGGTCCAGGTTCATTTTTAATCACATGTCAAAATCACGGGGGGAGGGGGAGATAAAATTAAAGTGTAACTTAATGACTACGATCTTGGTTAGTTTCATTTGGCCCGTGTCTACATGAATCTATAAAATATGATCCCCTGATCTAAAGTACGAACATTTTCATTTCTAGCAGTTAAAGGCCCTGTTTCCAATGTGGCATGACATTCTTTTGTTACAGAAGGTTAGAGTTCACACGTAAACATAATCCGTGTGCTCCTGTGCGTGCCTTACACCTCGTTGTGGCTGTTCTTACTTAAATTCCTGCAGCAAAATGTTGCATTTATGTAGCTACCTGAATTGCAGCCTCTTTGACCTGAAAAACAAGCCTGGAGAACATCTCATCCAGTCCTTTTCTGATGCCTAATTCCCCATACACTCCCAGGGAGATTCTATTCTCTGATAGAATCTGTGTGGAACTTTCGTCCTCAGAAGCATCCTTCCCTATGATCTTATTTTTTAAATATAGTTTTCTCATCTGTAATATGGAGCTTTGTCTCCACTTAGGGAGCCATGCAAAATAAATTAATTTCTCTTCCACATGATATTACCCTTAAAATATTTGGAGACAGCTTTCAGGTCCCCCATCATCTTCCCCCAGCTAAGCATCTGCGGATTTTCTAGCAATTTGTCCCATGGGTCTGAGTGCCCCCTGCTATCCCAATTGTCTAGAGAGGCTCCTGTAGTCTAAGGCCCTCTGAAACTGAAGATGGTGCTTCAGTTGGTCCTGAAACTCCGTTGAAGAGGCAGGACTGAGGAGTATATGACTTAAAATCAACAAGGGAAATCAGTCAGACTATGTCCAAGTTATTCAGACAAAAATACATTTCAGTTTTTTATTTTACTCTTTTTCTAGTGTGTCAGTAATATCGGACTCAGTTTTGAAGCCCAGGGAATAAGGGAAAAGCCATTTTGTGTGCTAGCGCTTTACCTTTCACGTTCTTCATTTTATTCTCACAAAACCCCTCTGAGCAGGTATTATTGTCATTCCTCTTTTAGAGAATGGGGGGGCCAACAAGCCTCCGGAGCTCGCACAGCTAAGAAGCAGTCGAGTGGGGTCTCTAACCTGTGACTTGCTCTTTACATTACACGAAGCTGCTGTGGACTCCCAGTTAACACTGAGATCCTGAATTTGGTTTTCAGCATATTCTATGACGTACAGCTTTCTTTCAAGGCCGGTTTGTATACATTGTACTTAGTGCAGTTATGAAAACTTTTGAAATACAAGTCAAGAACTTCAGGGGTGGGAAAAATGTTCTTTCTGGAAGCAAATGAAACAGAAATTCCAAGTTAAAGCCAAAAGTCATCCCAAACATGCTTTTATTCCAATGGCATTACTTAACAGCAAAGTGTCATATTACCCTTGAATTTCCTGCCTAGGCTAAGGTTAGGCCAGGCACTTGATGTATTTAAATTGTTCCATATATTTCAGCTTTATCACGACCAACAGTACTGCCTCTTACGCCTGCTCTCCAAAATGTCAGTAAAGAAAGAGGGAAGAGTGTTTCCCGTGCACGCACTGTAATTTTTTTCTAGTGTTGCTTATCCTGCCAGGACAAAAGTAAAACCACACAAAGATACAGATCAACCTCTTGGTTGCTCTGCTGTTTTACAGTTTTAGGAAGAGTTGGACATCCAACACTTGAAACTGCCATCTACACATTCTTTCTCAGGATAAAGCAGCATTGACATGTACCCCACTAAATTACTCTGTACTCCAAAATGCCCTGGATTAATGAAGTTAGCTCTGAGAAAGGCTTTTACCTCCTGCAATGAACTGTCATGTGCTGACCTCCAGCCAGATGGACTCTGCACTTTAGTGGGGATGTTGCTTAGGCGTTTAGATGTTTCTAATTTGTTGGCTACTATAAACAGTGCTTGGGACACCTTTTTCTTACTGCCCTATCTAAATTTTGGATAGTGATACAAAATCACGATGACATTAATGTTTCTTTTCTCCATAGTACTTATGGCAACTTAATGCTTTACTGCTGCTGTGCCTGTCTCCCTGCTCCCGATTGCCATTGTGCATGAGACAGGTAACCTCATCTATGGTGTCTGTTAGACAGCATATGGTAGGGCCTCAGGAAATACATTTTGAATGAATACATCTTTCGTGTGTATATATATATATATATATATATATATATATAGCTGTTGTAAAATTTTCTCCTTTAAATGGCTTCTTTGAGTGGTCAAATTCCTAGAGACAGAAAGTAGAACATAGTTGTCAGGGACTGGGGGCAGGGGGCATGGAGAGTTAGTGCTTATCGGGTGTAGAGTTTCAGTTGGGGAAGATGAAAAAGTTCTGCACATGGACGGTGGTGATGGTTGCACAGTAGTGTGAATGTACTTCATGTCACTGAACTGTATGCCTAAAAATGGTTAAAATGGTAAATTTTGTAGTACATGTAGTTTACCACAATTAAAATAAAAATAGTTTGAATTACAGTTCTTGGGCTAAGAGTAAGTGTATATCTTTTAAATGTGGGTGTATATATATAAACTTCCCTCCAGAAGTTATGCCAATTAACATTTCAACTACCAGTGCACAGGAACACCCATTTATTTCCCTGAATGCCACCAATGCTGTTTTCTGTCTCTTTATTCTGTGTATTTGATAGGTAAGCACACAGAGACACACACACTTTAATTATTGTTATTTGTGTAATAATATTTATTATTAAGGGTTGAGCATACTTTCATATATTTGGTACTTCTTCATCTGTAAAAAGCCTATACATATGTATCCTTTCCCCTTTTTATTGGGTTATTTGTTTCCTTTTATTGATTCCAAGGAGCTCTTGTATACTAAAGATAATAACTTTTGGTCTGTTATATAGTTTCCAAATAACTTTTCCCAGTTTATTATCACTCTTTAAATGTTATTTGTGGTTTTTTGCTATATGAAATATAAAATTATATGTGGTCTTAGTATAAACTTGGGGTGAAAGAAAACTTTCCTCATTCCAGGATTGTAAAAATATTCATCTCTGCTTTTATCCAGTACATTTGTGGCCTTGTTTTTTATATTTACTTATTTGATGCATCTATATTTTAGCGGTAAGAAGGGAAAGATCCAACTGAAATTTCTTGAACTAATCAGTTATTTTATCATCATGTATTATATATAATCAGTGTTTTCTCTTAAGTTGAAATGACATCTTTTTGTTATAATAAATACCCATATTCTTACACCTATTTCATTGTACTATCTATTCAGTACCTAGACAATGCTATATTTTATTTACAACAATGTACCAAAATATTTGGTTTTTTAATTGCAATATGCTTTTATTTTACTTTTGTTTTTAATATTCTGATGTACTCTATTCTTTCTTTTAAATTGACATATAGTTGATGTACAATATTATGTTGGTTTTAAGTATACAGCATAGTGATTTGATAGCTATATACATGACAAAATGCTCACAAGTTCCCATCTGTCACCACACAAAGTTATCACAATATTATTGACTATATTCTCTATGATGTAATTTCATCCCTGTGACTTATTTATTGTATAATCGGATGTTTGCACCTCTTTTTACCCTTGGTCTATCTCACCTATATCCTACCTCCATCCCTGTGGCAACCACCAGTCTGTTCTCTGGGTTTATGAGTCTGCTTTGTTTGCTTATTCATTTGCTTTATTTTTTTAGATTCCACATGTAACTGAAATCACATGGAAGTCACTAATATATTCAGATGGTGCTTGTTGCCATAAATCCTAGGCAGGTGACTAATTTCTGTTTGGAAATTTATCCATTCCTGGAGAACTTTTAAATTATGTCTAATTATAAATTGGAAAGGTATATCCAAATAGAGAATATCTTCTAGTGGGAGTCAGCAAGGAAGACAGAGCGTGCTGGCAGTGGACTCAGAAAGACCAGTGACAGGAAGGAGAAGTGTTGGGGGGAAGGCTTGGCAAAGTGTCAGAACTGTCATTGCAGCTAACTGCTGTTCCAGGGATAGATTGACTTAGTTATCTGTAGAGCAGAAAGAAAGCTGGTGGGCTCTGCCCTCTTCATATGAGCCCTATCTCTGCCACTTCCTAAGTTTGCACTCTCAGATACGTCACTTAAGTAATCTTCTTATACCAAAGCTAATAATAGCTACCTAACATGATTGTTCTAAAGATTAAACAATACATTTAACTGCACTCTGAAAATTCCTGTTGGAAATCAGAGGCGGGCAAGACAGACACAATTCTTAACCTTGAGAAGCTTAGAGTCCAATGAGGGAGACTGACAGACACCATAAAACCAGTGAACAAAACAACCCAGTGTGGCAAGTACTGTTTGGGCACAGCAGGCTTCAGAGATCAAGACTGGGGCTGGCCTAGAGGCCATTTGAGATCTGATGGCAGGCAAGGCCTCTCTCAATCCCTGAATTCAACTTTTGACATGAAATATCTTTCTCATAAATATTTGAAAAGATTTTTGCCAGCTCTTCTGACATTTTTGAGTTTTCTATACAGAAGGAAAAAAAATCACAAAGTGGTGAGCTAGAGAGGCCTGGAAACTAGAGCATCACCAATCATATTTCCCTCTTTGATTGCCCTTTGACACCTTTTACTTGATTGCTTCTAGGCCTGGATTAATTTTTTTCTGGCCCACGGCCCATGCTAATTTGCATGGCTATTCTATATATGGGTCAGATCCTTAAAGACAGCAGTCCAGTCTGAATTCACAGAGTCACATCCATCAAGTGGCCCAGAGCTCAATATACTCTCTGTAGAAGAATGGAGAATAATGAGAAATCGTACCACGACCTGAAATCGTGACTCACCAGGGTGGCCCTGTGGTCAAGCTCATGGGTAAACCACTCCATCATCCT